GATTTTCCTTTCTCACAGAAAATTAGATTACAGAGATGAGTATTCAGATGCAGGAATCGTACTGCTCTGATACCATGTAGAAGTAAAGAAGAAGAGGATGGTGTATTGGAAAATACTCAATTGTATTCCCTTGATTCATTCTGTACAAGAAATTGATATATATACAAATGCAGAAACATATCTGGTGCCTATAATTATGTACACAAATATGGAATGTAAATATTACTTGACTGATATAGCATAGCCATTGTCCTGCTGCACTGATTTTGCTTGATTTGCTGTCTTCCTAATTCCTTGATTAACTCCACTAACTTTCTTATACTGTGATTGCTCATTCTCCTCCATATGGAAGAGGAGAGAAAACAGAGCCCTCAATTCAACTAAACGTCACAGGAGTTACAATTTCGAGCTTGATTTGCAATGGCTATGACACTCAATCTCCACCAAAAACAAACAGGTAATTCTTGGTTAGATCTCTCCTTCAATTTATTGAATTTAAACGCACTGAATCGAGCAAAGAAGACCCATATTCTTCGATTTTCAGGATTCCAGTGTAAGAATCTCTTGTGGGTTTAATCTTGACTGTGTTTGATGTCTGATCTATTGTTCATAAAATCAATTAGAAACCCATTTTTTCTTCCTTTGATTTCATATATGCTATCCATATTTGATCCTTGTTCTTGGGTTATCGATTTGAACGAAATATGGCTCTGATTTTGTATAATCAATAACTGAATGAAATTAGGATTTGCAGAAGGCAAAGGAGAGGAAGAGGAAAGAGAAAGTGAAAGAGAAACAGAAAAAAAAAAAAAAAGGAATTTATTATTATTTTTTTCTTTTGTATTAAAATGTTGTGATGTGTTGTTGTTATTGGACATGTCATTAATTTTTTAATGAATAGATCAAAATCAAATTAAAATTAAATTGAAATTTTAAGTGTTAAATCATAATTTTTTTTAGTTTCACAAATCAACTTAGAGATTAGTACAATAATTAAGAAACTAAATTGTGGGTTTAACACCAACAAATTAGTTACTAATCATATGGTTGAAGCAACCTTCCTAGCTGTCAAGCGTGGAATTGTTGAGATTTTGTTTGAAATTACTAAAGCTAATCCAGACATGATTTGGAGCATTGATCCTGTAGACTTTAGAGATGTACTAATGTCTGCAATTGCGTACCGTCAAGGAAAAATAGCCAGCTTTGTATGTGGAATTGTTGCATGGAAGGATGCAATTATTAGCAGTGATGATGATGGGAACAATCTGTTACACATAGCAGGGAAGTTAACTCCTGATTTTCAGCTGGCTCACATCTCAGGCGCAGCTTTGCAGATGCAGAGAGACCTACAATGGTTTAAGGTAAGTGGGATATCTGATAAATGATGTTTTTTTTTTTCTTTTTACCTTTTTTTTTAATAATTTTCTTACTGATTAACCAAAATTAACATTATGATTCTAAAGTCATATGTTTCATCAATACATATGTGGTTGTATATGAGCAACTAAACATGTGGACTTGTTTATATGATGAAAACTACAGCACTTTTGAAGTTAGATTTGACTTCTTTTTTTTTTTTTTTTCTGTTTGACTTCAAAGAGGGTGTCTATCAATTGTGAACATCATTTTAACTAACATTAGAAAATTATGAAATAAATGTAGGAGGTTAAAGGAATTGTCCCCCAGTGCTACAAAGAATACAAAAATGTGGATGGTGAAACCCCTGCCCAAGTGTTCACAAGGGAGCACAAGAGTTTGCAGAAAGAAGCTGAAGAATGGATGAAGAAAACAGAAGAGTCTTCGACAGTTGTAGGTGTCCTCATTATAACCATTATGTTTGCTGTAGCTTTTACTGTTCCTGGCGGCAATAATCAAGACGCAGGTTTTCCCGCATTACTGCACGAGAAATCTTTTATGGTATTTATAGTATCAGATGCAATCTTTCTCTTTGCGGCATCCACATTAGTGTTAATGTTTCTAGGAATCCTCACATCACGTTATGATGAGAAAGATTTCCTTAAATCCTTACCCACAAAGTTGATTATTGGCATTTCTACACTCTTCGTTTCTATTGCAGCAATGATGGTAACCTTTTCTGCTGTGCTTTTAATCATGCTACAAAGACGAATGTGGTTAGTCATTCCAATAATTTTGTTTGGTAGTGAGCCGGTCACCCTGTTTGTGTAGTTGCAGTTTCCTCTCCCCTTGTGGAGATATTTGTATTGACTTATGGATCAAGAATCTTTATAAAGAAAGATGATGAGCAAAATGAGGACATGCTTGCAAGGGAAAAGGAGTTGGAAGTTACTCTCGATTGATTCAATTGTAGTTGCAATAAATTATTTGGTGGATGTGTGTTCCTGAAAGACTTCAATGTCAAATTTATATTTCGACATTTTTTTTTTGTTATTGTTTTGTTGTTGATTTGTTTTCTTGCTTACGAATATTATGATATTTCTGTATGTCTTAAAGCTTAATTATTCTTAGCTTTTTTAGATGGTTTATTAAATTTAATTATTTTTATAGTTTCATTAAAAAATAGTTGTTATCACCAATCAAACATGATTGTCTAAACTCAGTCAACTGTCAGTAATTATAAATATTGAAGAAAAAAATATTTGTGCATTTGAAGAGGATGTTGCTCTGTTGACTTTTTATATTCCCAATTGGAATATGGTTGGGACTTAGGAGGTTAAGGGTGTGCATGAGATTACTGTGAAGTATATTGTGATTATAGCAATGATTGTAATTGTAGTTGTGGTTATAATTATAGTTGTGATCGTAATTATAGCTGTAGATATGGTTGTGTTGTAATTATAGCAAAAAGTTATTTTAGTATTTGATTATTTATTTTTTTAAAAATATTATAGATGAAATATGATAAATTTTATTAATTATTAATTAAAATTTATAAAATATTATAAAATATATAATTATTAAAATAGATAATATTTACTATTTCTTAATAATTTTAAATTTTTAGATTTGTTATAATTATTAAAAGATTATAAATTATAATGTAATTAAATTATATAAGATTGAGTTTTAATGTGTAATTTTATAATTATATTAAATATTAGATATTCTCTGTAAAATCTACAATTAAAAAGCTTTAAAATGAAGATTTTACCTTTATATATAAACTTATTATGAATCTGTTGTAACTTTCTACAGTTTTTAAAAAATAATTTGAAAAAAATTATTGAACGCATATATATTTAAAAATACAATACGGGTTTAAAAAAAAAACTTCCAACTATAATTCCAAACACCTTAAATAAAGGTGGGAGATGAAGAAGTTAGTTACAACCAATCTAATCCCAATTGGAACATGATTAGGATTAGTTGCAAATAATATTAATCCTAATTAGAACAGGATCCAATTAGAAGGGGATTAGGATTGGGCAGCCTATAGTGTACTTCGCTTGGCTCAGCACAAGTATCTACATCTAGCTTCCCCTAAGTGTGTATCTGCCATGACTGAAACGAGATGTCTTGTTGAGTGGAAAAATCTCACGTCAAGTATACAATAAAAAAATATATGGTTTAAATACAAGAATAGTCACTCTACCTATTGTTAATTGATTTTAAATTAGATATAAGCTTTTTATTGAAGTCAAAATACTCAATTTTCACATAGTATCAAAGTCTAATTATTAATTCATCTAATAAGACTTGAAGTTGATACTGAACCCGCATGTAACGTGCATGACAAGGCCTGATATTCTGTTTTAGTCACATGGTATTGTGTTGAAGGCTCAATTTTCACAAACAATACACGAGGAGGTCTCATAGTCAAGTACCTCCAAAACCAGCCCAAACAAGGAAAGATCGGAGGAGGCCAAACTGGAACAAACGTGTTTGCTGAATTTTATGATGAACTGAAACAGATCCGCGAAGTACCATAGAAAACATCCAGCTGCCTCTCCAGTAAAGGTAAGCAGTTTTGAAAAATACATAGTAATTGTGCTGTTCTTAGAAAAGCTGCTGTTCTATTCTTGGCCCCAATGACACTCATGGAACTGGCTATGTAACCTAAAATGGGACTCACATTGCTCTCAATCATCTTCTCCTGCTCTTTACACTTCCACTTTATCCAGCCATGAGACAAAGCATCAGTCTACCACCCACAATAAAGATATATGATGCTACCTTTTATGTGACTCAGGTTGCACTTAATAATCTTCTCCTGCTCTTTACACTTCCACTTTCTCCAACCATGGGACAAAGCATCAGTGGCATGTACCACCCACAATAAAGATATATGATGCTACCTTTTATGTGACTCACATTGTGCTTAATAATCTTCTCCTGCTCTTTACACTTCCACTTTCTCCAACCATGGGACAAAGCATCAAGGACATGTAACAACCACAATAAGGATATGATCGATGCAACCTTTTACGTGACTCACTGCTCTTTACAGTTCCACTTTCCCCAGCCATGGGACAAAGCATCAACGGCATGTAACACCCACAATAAGGATATGGTGCAACCATTTATGTGACTGACATTGCATTCCTCTCCTACTCTTTATACTTCCACTTTCTCCGGCCACGGGACAAAGCATCAACGCAATGTAACAGCCACAGTAAAGATATGGCGCAACCTTTTATGTGACTCACATTGCACTCATTATTTTATCATGCTCTTTACAGCCATAGGACAATGCATCAACGACATGTAATACACGCAAGTATTAATTGTTACTTACATTTAATTTGGAACACATCTTGGCATTTAACATACACACATACATATACATATATGTATGAGTACGAATCCGTTTACAAGCAAGTTTTACATACCATATTTATATAAAATCTCAACGATTTGTTTTTTCACTTTCAATAGTTAAAATTTATTTATATTTATTAAAAATAACTATCTTTTTTATCTAAAAAGTCGTGATAAATCTCAATTATTAAAAATGAAAAAATGAATAGTTAAGATTTTATGTAAGTGTAATATATAAAACTTGTATATAAGTGAATCCTCTCTCTCTCTCTCTCTCTCTCTCTCTCTCTCTCTCTCTCTATATATATATATATATATATGTATATATGTATAAGTGTTTTACAAGTCATTTTCTTAAAATTTTTTTGAACAACTTATTTAAAAACTCATCTTCTAATTAATAATTTTAAAAACCAATTGGATTCAAAGTTTTATACATATAGATTATGCATATAAATTTTTAGATTGATCTAGTAGGTTTAACAAATTTGTTAATTACACAAAATTTAACGCTATTAAATATATATCAGTAAATAGAGTTTTTTATTAAAGAATTATAAGTGTTAAATCAATACGAAGATTGAAATACATAATCTACATTAATGAAACTTTTCATTTATAGTTGGTTTTAAAAAATACTAATTAAAATATGAGTTTTTAAACAAATTCTTCAAAAATAATTTTGCGAGGATGATCTACACTATACATATATATATGAGGAGAGATCAATTTATACACAAGTCTTATATATTATATTTATATAAAATTTCAATCATTCATCTTATCATTTTTAATAATTAAGAATTATTATAATTTTTTATGTGAAAAAAATAATTATTTTTAATAAATATGAATAAATTTCAACTATTGAAAGTAGAGAGATAAATAATTGAGATTTTGTAAAAGTGTGATGTCTAAACTGAGTGTAAGTGGATCCCTACTCTCTATATATATAGAGTTAGAATTCACTTATACACAAGTCATACCATACTTATACAAAATCTTAACTATTTATTTCTTTATTTTCAATGATAAATATTTATTCACTTTTTATTATATTTATTATAAAAAATTATCATTTTTTATTTAAAAAATCATAATAATTCTCAACTATTGAAAATGAAAAAATAAATTATCAAAATTTTGCATTAATATGATATATAAGACTTATGTGTAACTTAATCTCTACTCATATAAATATGTAGTTGTATAGATATATGTATATGTGTGTGTATATATATATACATGAAAAAATATTTATCGGCCATACTTTTTAAAAATTAAGTTGAAAAATAAACCAAAACTATATGGTTTTAATTAGTTTTTATTGAAAAGAACTCAAATATCTTAATTTTTAAAATAAAAATAAGATTATTTTTACCTTTTCTCATAATATTTTATTAAAACAATATAACATAATTTGCATTTTTTTTACCTAATTTTTTTACAAATACAACTATAAATACTATTCTCTATATATATACATACTTATGTGCCTTAACGAGGAGGGCAGATTGCATTACTTGCGCTTTTGTTGGTTGATCATTCCAAAATTGCTTATGTTATAATGCTTGTGCGGCTTGAATTATCCTTTTGTACTCGTTTCTTAGAAAAAATCTCCTTTTATTGGCTGATGAAAAAATAAATTATTTTATAGTTCAGATGATAAGTAAAAATGTTTCAATGGTAAAAAATCTCTTATATATTTTATTTAAGAGTTATTATTTTATAATTTAAAATAATTTAGATAGTAAACCATTTTTTAGAAGGTATACTTATATGCCTTTCTTTGCCGGCGATTGAAGCAAAGAATACAGAATAGTAGTGTATTGGTCTCTATATATTCCTGCATTCCTAAAGAATTATATACATGATTAATTCGATCTTCATCTCATTGCAAGCTTTTTATCTTTTTCTTCGTTCTTCTGCTCCTGCCAATCGGTGAGTACCTCCTCTGATGCTGTACCTATGATTTTCAGCTCCTTTTTGTTAAAGTAATCTCATATTATATTGATCACTTTAGAGGAAGTTGTGGTTTAAATAAACATGACTTTGATTGATTGATGGAGTTCTGTTGATTTTAATATTATATATTTCATGTCAAAGTACAGCATTCGGTTAATAATTAAACCCATCAAAAGAAATGTATGTTTGCTCTATTAATAGCTTAGTTTAATAAATAATGTAGTAATTTTTTTTTTATTTATTATTTTCAGATATTTTTAAATTTATTTATTATCTTTTATTTTTATTTAATTTACTTTAATATGTTAACTTTTTAATAATAGTTTTATTTTATTTAATTAAATTAATCTTTAATTATATTTTTTTGTGAATTTTTATTTTTTAAAATTAATTTTGAGATAAAATTAATTTTATAAAAATGATAAATTTTTTTCACTATCTGAAAAATTATAATTTTTTTTTTTATCAGCAAAAGAAATAGAATGATATTAATGCAGAGTACAAGGGGTACTCTAACCCATATACACAACTAGGCTACAACCTGCAGAATTGAGACTTACAAAAGTAGGCCAACACCGGGAACATGCTGGACAATGACCCACCTAGCAGCCCCATTATACCCTTCCCTTTTGGTTCAAATGAAACTCCCACCTCAGCCTTCTATTATTTCTTATTTCTGCAGCAATTTCCAGCGGGTTGAGCTTCCAATCCCACAACGAGAAAACACATCCCTGCACTTTATTTTTTACCCAGAAAAAAATCTTGGCCTGAATCATATCCAATAACTCATCCCTTGATACCCCATCTCCTTTAAAAACTCTACAATTCCTCCAAAACCATATATACCATGCAGTAACAAGAAAGATGCAAGCCCCCAAATCCTTCCCTATCACCCTACCCAGCCCGTATGCAAACAACTCCATTATTCCCCCCACTCTATTCGGCACTACAGCCTCCATACCCCACCAATGCAGCACCTTAGTCCAAATTAACCAAGCTTCCGAACATGTACAAAAAACATGGTTACACTCTTCCACTTCCCCATCACACAACCCACACCTTAAACCCCCATCCAGCCCCACACCTCTTTTTTGTAAGCTAAACTTAGTGGGAAGACGCTCCAGACATAATCTCCACCCAAAAAAACTAACTTTCGAAGGCACTAACCGACACCAAATTAACTTACATAATTGTTCATTCAGAATGTAATTCGTAGATTCCAAGAACTCATACGCATGTCTCACCCTAAACCTGCCATCAGGAGCATGCACCCACTGCCAACAATCCTTAACACCTTCCTTTAGTTGAACTTTACCCAGGATCTCCCACAACAACACCTCCTCATCCTTCTCTCTTCCCCGGCTCCCTCTTCTCCAATCAATCCTCCATTTCCAACTACCTTCCTCCCAAACCCCCATCTCACTAACTAAACCATCCTTATGAATCGCCAATTGGAACAGCCTAGGACACAAATCCCTCAAAGTCTTCTCCCCCACCCAAACCTCTTTCCAAAAATCCACCCTACTTCCATCTCCCACCCCCCATCTAAAACCCTTCACCAACATATTCTTTAAACCATCTGATCTCAACCCTATACTCAGAACATCCCTCCACAGCCTAGACACCCTAACTGTATCCACTGCTGTAATATCCACTTCCTCCCTTCCACCATAATACCTCTCCCATAC